GAACATATGATGCAACACACTAAAATATCATGGGTCTATTCACAACACATTGACGTCACGTGACACCCACGTGACACATACAAATAACAAAGAGACAACTTTGTTGGGGATCAGGGGATCCAAGCGTTAATAAAAAGGTGTAGGGGTAAATAATGGCTAGCCCTCTATAGTATAGGGGGTGTATATATAATTAATCCTTTATTAAATTACTCGTCAGAGATGATAAATGGGAAATAATGGTACCTGAGCAAGTGTAGCTGGCATGACCACTGTTACATCACCCTCCCACTCTTGAGAAAATAATTTAGCAAGTCCTCCTAGTGGAAAACCAAGTGCTAGGATTTGATTGCACCGATGCTTGACCTCCATCTCGGCAAGATGAGCAAGCTGGATAAATTTAGAAACAGAAAAAATTAGTTCCCTTGATATTTATTCCTTCATTCTTGACACTTTTTATGCAAAACTAAGAAAATAAATAGCTAAGAATTTATACCTTAGCAGCAAAATTGCCTCCATAAGCTCTTACAAGCTCTTTCAACCTCAGTAGTGGAGCTATATGAGGATTAGCTTGACTAACAATAAAATGATTCACATTAAAAAGTTCCTTCAATTGTATCATAGGAAGATCACTCTCCAAACTCCCATCTCTCCACCGACGAGAAGAACTTCCTGCCGTTTCCCCGAAGCCCACTACAAATGGTGCTTGAAAAGGAACAATCTCCCCAAATCTATCCTTCGCCATTAACTCCTGAGCTTCAAAAAGCCCAGGAAAAGCACAAGAAGCAGTCACAGCGCTCCATATAACAACATGAGGAGATGTCAAATAATTAAGACATCTCGGAGGCTCATGCTTTCTAGGAGAGCACACAGTAATCCCAAGAATCCTTCCAGTCATATCATAAGCTTCTTGAAAAGTTAAATTGCTCGTTAAATGCCTCAAAAGCTGTTGAAGTTGCCTAATCTCATGAACTGCTCCATGTGTCATAACCCTTCTAACAACCGCAAAAATTCCACCCATTTGATCGAAGAATTGGAGAGTGTGCCAGGAGTCCTCGAAAAAGCTCTCAAGTTCTGGCCAAGATCGGGTGGCTACAATAGCACACATTATAGAACCGACGCTAGAGCCTGCGATTATTCTTGGGAGAAGTTTGTGTTCTACTAATGTTTTTACTACTCCAACATGGAAGGATCCTAAGGATGCACCTCCGCTTAAGAGAAGCGCAGTTCTGCCAAAAGCGTGTCGAGTTTCGTGCATGAATGCGAGTTTCTCTTCTAAGAGAAGTTCATCAGAGTCAGAGTTGCATATGATTTTAAGTTGGGTTGAGACCTCGTTGATGTATTCCTTTATGAGTCTAGGTACCTGAATAGAAAGAAATGAAGGTTCCCAGGTTAATGAAGTATACATAATTAACAGTAAAATCAGGCCCTTTTTTTTGGTAAAATTGGCAATGGTCTATAGATGATAAATAGAACTTCCCATCTTAAACATGAGCATTGAAGTTTGGATCGTACAATTTGTAGGTGAAATGAAAAAAGTGATAATTTTAATTTAGGAAGCTAATGTGCTCTGTTGTATGATTTCCAAGGAGGTTGTCATATATTAGAGATACTCCACATTTTTACAAGTATGTCTGGAATGTCCTCGCCTTCACCAATCAACACTCGGATACATTTGGAATGCTTCTCAAAAAGGTGAAAATGAAAAAAGTGATCATTTTAATTCAGGAAGCGTCTCACATACTCATTCATCATGCTCTATTGCATGATTGCTAAGGGGATTATCATATATTAGAGATACTTCACATGTTTACAGATATATGTCTGGTGTGTCCTCGCCTTCATCAATCAACACTCAAATACATTTGGAATGCTTAGTCTGTAGGTGTTCGAAATGTGATTTTTCTCTCTTTGGTTTACCTCATACTCACTCCTCGAAAGATGAACGTGACTCCCATAACAGTCCATGCACTCTTATTTCACCTAGGCCCTTTTGCAGATTGAATGAGGATAGTGTGTGAGCTGAGCTGAAAGCCTTAACAGCATGAGCAAATACTTTTTGATGCAAAAAGGTGGTGAGAATGAAGAATTGTGTAATAGATGGACCATGGTCAATTATAATTTGATTCATAGCATCCAAGCCAATAGCTTATGTTATTCAACAAAACAAATCCTTTCTGTATGAAAATCTATTTGTTTATCAGGTTAATTTATAGTGTGCAAATGAGACAGAATCAACAGGAAAAAAAAACTTCATAATATTTGCACTAATAGAAGAATGTTAACTATATAAAAATGATGGTGCTTAATTGAAAATTTAACCTAGAAATATAGAAGGATGGTGGTACGTTATATAGATAGTACGGAATTTTTACTGAACTCGGTCATATACGAATCAAGATGTTTAAGTCTAAATTATCGGCATCAACACATTAAATTTTGCCAGGCGCCAGGGCAAAGCAAGTTCCTGGTTCCTAGTGTTTCTAACCATTTAAAGTTGATATACAGACATTACAAACCAATGGACCTAATTCTGAAGGCAAGATGTGCTTCGACACAGTCATCATTTGGAGAATGGAAGTAAAGCTAGGTGATCCAGACATACAACAACCTGATGAAGCCCCACCATGAATGAAGACACACTACTTCGAATATAAGTATTTATTGTCATCGGGGGGAAAAAAAGGGCTATCATAGCTGAACCTGCGCCAGCTATAAATCTGATTAGAAAACTGAAACAGTTCTAAATCATAAGGTCCATAACCCTCTATCATTAAACTTGAGGTTAGATGACATGGCCATCACATTTTCTCGATGTCATAGTTCCTGAACTTCAAGTCCCCAAATCACAAACACAATCTAAAACATCAAATCACTTCATCATTTACTGTAGGATACAAGTCAGTTCATGAGACACCCACAAAAATGAAACATATGCACATAATTTTAAAAGGACGGTGTTAACATATGGTTGTGACCAGAAAATTTGAAAGAGATATATAAACCACGATCCTCGATCACAAAACCCGTGGTTAACAAACATATGTCGTGGTGCTTAAAAACTTATGACTCATGCCCTCAGATCACAAACATAATCTAAATGCTATATATATAAGTAATGTCATAATCTACACACCTGAAGCCTTCCCTTGTGGAGTTGAGGGTTACACATATTCCCCAAATTCCTCAACAGATCCGCCCTCATACAAAATACAATGTCCCTCAATGACCCCTCCTCCCTCCTCTGCCTCAGCTCCTGCAACTTGTTCCTCACCAACTCCTCGTCATACAAATCCGACTCATTCATCTTCGGGCCCTCCTTCTCGATCATCTTGGCCGCGTGGGCCCACTCCTCGTACGTCATCGCGCTCCTCATCATGTTCCTCCAGAACTTCCTACGGTATGCAGACTCCGCTCTCGGCCGCACATTGGCGAATCTCTTCAACAGGAAAGCCATCAGCGTTACCATCACAAGTATACCTTGGGTGTTCCTTGGATGGAACCATGAAATGAATGAGAAACTGTAATGCCTGAGATTTCGAAGAAAAAACCCAATGAATTTTGCAGTTCGATGCCGGAGGTGGGAGATTGAAGAGCAGAATAGGACTCTAAACGCAATCGTGCGGCCGATGACTGAGGACGGGCCAATGGAGAACGAATTGATGCTTGCCTCACCGCTTACATCCATCACTCTACTTCTTAGGGTTTCAAGATTGGATTTTGGGCTCGACCCAATTGGCTAAAACTTAAGGAGAATCTACAATTGAGCAAAAGGTCGGGCCTTTTGGAGCCCAGGCGGAGCAATCAGAGCGAAGGCTTACCAGGGTTTCAAACTGGGGGGTGGTTTCAAAAAATTACGTCAAAATCGTTTTTTGAGAGATGCCCAATTGATGAAACCTCGATGGGAATGCACAACTCAAGCAAAGATCAAAATTTTGCAAGCTCTAATGATGAAGGCCAGTGGTAAAAAAAAAATTTGCTTTTTTAAGGGGAACCCAGCTATTAAATCCCTATATTACAGTGACTGGGATCTGGATCAGCGATGAAAGGGGATAAGATAGAAAATGCGATTACGATGAAGAAGCGGCCTCGATATAATAATTTTATTTTATTTTTGCAGGGATGAGACGAAATTGGTGGCGGCAATGGGAAGAGAGCTGTAGAAGAACGGAAACAGTTTCCACGAGAGAGAAGTTTCGGGGGGGGGATCAGCGATGAAAGGGGATAAGATAGAAAATGCGATTACGATGAAGAAGCGGCCTCGATATAATAATTTTATTTTATTTTTGCAGGGATGAGACGAAATTGGTGGCGGCAATGGGAAGAGAGCTGTAGAAGAACGGAAACAGTTTCCACGAGAGAGAAGTTTCGGGGGGGTCCCACCGCCGATCTTTTTGTAGCAGCGACCTTATCCTGTTGGTTGTCACACGTAGGTCTAGGTTTAACTCGATTGGATCGTTTGCTGACGTGTGTATAACGCTAACTCTTCGAATCTCGATCAGATTTGTATCTCACCTAGTTTTAGAGCAAGGGTACGTTAGAGCAACTCCAAAATGCACCCTCCCCAAAGAATATTCTTGGGAATATATTTTTTTAGAGGGGAGGCACTCCAACAACCCCCGAGGCTGTAAAATACAGCCTCCCCAAAGAATATTCTTGGGAATATGTTTTTTTAGAGGGGGGCACTCCAACCACCCCATCTATATGAAGCTCTATTTGTATTTTCAATTGATTTCTTTTATAATACTTTAAATAGATTTGAAAATAAAAAAATATAAAATGTTAAAAAAATTATATGAATTAATTTAAAATATAAACTACATTATAAATTAATATATTATAAATTAATAAGACATAGATAAGAGCCTTTAAATTTTAAAAAGCAGAAAATATAGCATAATATTTGGAACAACCTTCACAACTACTCTGAATGATGAAATTTTATATATTACATTCAGTGGCATTACATAGAAAAATAAAGTACATGAAAATCGGGCAGGTCATTTCCTCCATATCCACCAGGTATTCCGTATTGACTTCCTGCATAACTATATTCAGGATTAGGAATATCAGATGAAGAACCTCCAGTTGTGTTTCTATTTAAAATTTCTTGTTTTTTAATTCGAAAATACTCGTGTTCCGAAGGATTAGGGTTGAGCATGGTTCGGTCCAAACCGAAAAAACCGACCGAACCGACCCGAACCGATCGGGAAAGATCGGTTTTATGAGTAGGACGGTTCGGGTCGGTTTGAAAATTTTTTAACCCGAACCGGTCCGAACCGACCGAATATAGTACAATACTACCCATTTTGATCTCAAACCCTACCCGACTTGTCCCCATAGAGTCAAAGGCTCAAACCCTAAACTCATTTTCTGAACCATTATGGGTTAAAAACAATATCATTATATCAGTGTTTAATACTTCATAATCTCCTACTTTGTTGATATCTTTTTTCTTTAACACAGTTTGCTGTTTGATAAGAAGTTTGATGAAGTTAGAAACGAACAAACCGAACCGAACCGCACCGCACCGACTTGCAACAGTTCGGTTCGGTTTTGAATTATAGGTGGTTCGGTTCGGTTGTTTAAATTTTGGTAAAAACTGAACCGAACCGACCGTTGCACACCCCTACGAAGGATCAGTAATAGTATCAAGATTAATCAGCATAATCTTACTTCCTGTCGTTCCCTTTGAATATCTATATTACATAAATTGCTTGGTTTTTTAATTACTTGGTTCTTGAAATTTTATATTTCAATTAATATTATCCAATATTAGTCTCATTTTGAAGGTATCGACAAAACATTTCCAACTGTAAAACTTTTATTTAAAAATAATTAGTAGAAATAAACTTATGTTGATTTTAAATTGAATATCTAAAAATAATTAGTTAGTTAGAAGGGTAAAATAGAAATTTTATTAGGGGGAATAGTGAAATGGAGGGGCTCCAAATATGCAGCCCAAATTGGATTTTTGCAGCCGATCTCCAAAAAATGGAGATCGGTTGGACTTCAATCGGGTTGCATTTTGGAGAAATGCAGCCCGGTTGGAGCTCTTCTTAGGAAATGACTAAGCTTGGGTCTTAGAGAGATTACTCATAGAAAATAGGTTGTGGGAATTATTTCTATGTTTTTAAGCCGATTTTTTCAAGCTATTTCATGATTTTTTAGGAGAAAATAAATTTCCTTAAATTTGGGATCAATAATGTTAGCTCCTATGCTTATGAGGCTACTATCTAATCTAGTTTTAATAACAAATAATTCCTAATATTATTTATCGAGTGTTTGTATTTACTTGTTAGGAATCCTGCACAAAGATCCTCGATTAATTGGAGGTTGGTTAGAATTGAGCTTAACGATGACATTCAAAAGAGGTTGGAAGGAAATCTGAATGAAGCTGTCGTAATTCAAGTCAAGATATTATATCGCTTCGTCTGTTACCAAGATCAAGCCTAATTGAAGATCATTTGCCTTGGGTATAATTGTTTAGGTTTATACTTTGTGTGTTTATACTTAGAGCTTAAAATTCATACACACACACATTTGTTTTGATTTATCACAGTTTTCAGTTTATAGACTTAACGACACTATTTCATATATTCTCTCAAGTCTATTAATTTATCGGAAAGTGTTTCAAAACTTATTTGGAATGATTTCATCAAAAATCAAGTTTTGACAATTTTGTATTTTTTTAACGGTTTGTAAAATGTTGAGTTTTCACAAATGAGAAATGCAATTTTAGAAATTCATTTTCTAACATGTTCATCTTTATGTTATAAACGTTTCCCAAAGTTTTACTAATTTTGGAGTTGGTTTACTATTTTAAATTGACTCTAGAAAATCAAGTGTTCAGCAGTTTTCAGAATCTAGAATATCTGTTTAAAATAGTGATTTTTCACAAATGCGAAGTGATATTTCAGAAATTTCTTCTCTAAGGGGCTGTTTGTTCACCTAAAAAGAGGGAAATCAAAGAATAGGAAACTTATTTCTAAGAAAAATTATTTTGAGATTGTTTGGTTGGCTAAAAAAAAGAAGGAAATCAAAGAATGAGAGATGAGTTATCACATCATTATTGGATGATGTGAGTGATTTTTTAAGAAAATTTGTTTTGATGCTGTTTGGTTGGCTAAAAAATAAGGAAATAAATTATAAGAAACATATTTCCTGTAATAGGTTCTTTTCTTGTGTTTGGTTCATTCATAAAAATAAGAAAATAGATGAGATGAGTTGAGTTGTCATTATATTATTGGATGATGTGACTTACACTTAAGAAAATCAATTTCCTGGATTTTTTAAGGAAATGGGTGGAAATGAATTGTTAATGAGATGAGATGAGTTATCACCATATTATTGGATGATGTGAGTGATTTTTAAAGATGAGATGTGATGGAGATGAGATAAGTTGGATGATGTGACCCGTTTCTTGTGTTCGGTTTATTTTTAGGAGATGATATGAGATGAGTTGTGGGATGAAAATAATATTTTATTGGATGTTATGGTGAGTTTTAGGGATAGAAATGGATGAAAATAATATTTGATTGATTTCCATGTACCCTTTTCCTTTTCTTGATTTTTAGGAAACCAACCAAACAACCCCTAACATTTTTATCTTTATGTGTACAAACATTTCCCCAAATTTTACTATTTTTGGAGTTGTTTTGTTATTTTAAATTGAATTTAGAAAATCAGCTGTGCAAAATTTCAAAATCTGTTTTGAGAAAGGAATATCTCCAATATTATTCTTTTGAGAAAAAATAAATAATAAATAATTTTGAGACACTGAAGCAACGCTATTACCTTATTAACCTTTAAATAAAAAATAAAAAATAAAAAGATAAAAGTCTATTATTGGTGTACTGAAGCAAGACTCTTAGAGTAATTTGTTGATGGCCAAAAATAAGACTCAAAATGGCTCTTTTTGCTTTTGTTCATTTAGGGCCCCTTTGGATGCTTTTAGATATTTATGATACACTATGTAAAAGGGTTGTCCACCTCATCACTTTCCTCTTTTAATATTTACATTCTTTGGTTTTGATTCCTCGTGAATCCTAAAATGATAGCATTACATTGTTTGGATTAAATAGTGTAAACTTAGAAATTGATGGTTATGTGAACTCCATTCAAAAAGTTCATTTTACCCTCAAATCATCCATATTTACACTTTACCCCCCAAATCTAGATTTTTGTAAAATTTCATTCGCTTCATTTGATTTTTGTGTGTGTGTGGGGGGTGGGGGGGTTGGGGTGGGGGGGGTGGGGGGTAGTAGCAATTAAAATTATTTGAGAGACTAATTTTAAATATGAAAGATTTGAGGGATTATTACTTAAAAAACCCCAGAAACTAATTCACTCTTATACATAAACACATACATAATTGTATATACCACATTTCTCAAACAAGTAAACTACAAGGCACTAATTACACTCTTCTCTAAGTTAAAAATTACTTAAAGTTTAAACTAAGGGTTAGTTGGATTTACACAAAATAGGGGACTCTAAGCGAGACATGTGAGGTGTTGCCTCCCTGTCTCGTGATGCACAGTGCATCACGGGATAGGGAGGCGACACCTCACCTGTCCCACTCAGGATTCTCCTATTTTGGAGTCCCTGAGATATTTTCTTTATTTGTTCATTTTAATTTTCTTTCTCTGACATTCTGTTAGCTTTCCACCTAAATCGGTGGTTATTGAGAGAGTCTAACTTTCCAACACACCTCAGCTTAAAAATGGACACATCAACACCTTTACATGCAATCAAATAATCATCCAAACTCTGTAAGACTATCTCCAGCAGGAGTCGAAATTTTAACCTTCTCTCTCCTGCCACATTACTTTATCCCCCCTCCACATAATTCAACAATCTTCATTTTCTATCATCTCTACAGCAGGAGTTTTTTCAAAAGATTTTTACTTTATTTGGGACCCACTATAACCCCATCACTCCAACATATATACCCCACCTTATTTATTCATTTCTTTTTCTTATTTCATATATATTACTACTACTACTATTATTATTACTAATATAACTCATTTATTTATAATTATAATTTTTTAATATTTACATAAATAATATATATTATTAATTTAATTTTTGATAATATTTTTATATTAACAAAAAAACACACGATTTTATTAAGCATACGGAAAAGTCAAACACACACAAATTATTGAAAACATTAAAGAAAACACACA